AAAAAAAAACAAAAAAAAAAAAAAACATAGGTGGAGTAGAGCGAAAACAAGCACAGAAAATTTTTTTTTGTTCCGGGCGGAAGAGATACACAGAAATCTATCATAAACTAGGGATCCAGAACCGTCCCGGTGCAGCGAGGCGAGGCAGCAGCGGGCGGCGCAGCGAGGTGCTCCGGGCGCACGGAGGTCTGTGCGAGGACTCGGCCTCAGGCGCCCGACGCCGCGGGAACCGGCGAGGTCCGAGCCGCAGCCTCCGCGCCCCATCCCCGATATCTGCTGGGGCAACAGGGGCCGGGGATGTCCCCGGGCTGGGCCGCCTGGCCCTGGGTCTGCGGGCAGCGCTCTTTCTGCGCCTCCGGCGGGTCAAATCCCAAACAGCGGCACCACTTCCTCGGGGGCTGCGGAGGGAAGCGAGGCGGGTCCGAGGTCCTTCTGGGGCCTGAGCTGCGCGGCTGCGGGTCCCGCCCCGCTGATCCCGGGCGTTCGGGGACCCACTGGTATTCGCGAGTCCAAAACCGCGAAAGTTACTTGGGACGCGCGCTCCCCGCTCCCAGCAGGGACGGACATCTCCATCCGCCTCCCCCGCGCGGCTCCGGCCCGCAGCCCCCGGCCCTCCCGGCGTCCCCTAGGAGAGCCTGGCCGGGCAACCAGCCGGGCTCCCCGAAAACACCTCTCGTGGTGGATACATGTCATTATATTTCTGTTAAACCCGCCTCAACCGACGCCCCCTCTGCCCCAGCCGCGAGGCCGGCGGCTCCTGTTACAAAAATAGCGAATAAGCAAACCACCCAGCAGAGTTAGTGAGGAGAGGCTGCCGCAAACTCTGATGGCGGGAAACCCCTTTCCCTGACTGCCTCGCCCCGCCGGCCGGGAGGGGAAGACTAAATGTGTACCTTCGCTACCGTCCTCCCCACCCCCACCCCCACGCCAGGGGGGGGAAATGCGTTAGTAACAAAAAGGTTATTTTTCCTTAATTCTGTGCCGTAAAAAGTATTTTCCAATTAACCAAATTCACCGATCTGTCCCGCTTGGGCATTCTGATGATTTACAACCTAAAAGTGTACTTTCTTTATCTAAAGACCAAGGTGACTGCTTTTAATTTTCTCTAACCTCTTTACACTTGATGTTCGCCAGACTCATAATGTTAATTGGCTTCATATACGGATCATCAGTTTAATGAAGAAATAAATCCTGTGTTGCTTTATGTTTTAACCGTGATTGCTTTAATGAGGAATGTGACGTGTTCCAAAATCAAAGCTACAGAAGACATTAGAGGTGCTTCTGTTAGGACAGAAATGCTTCCAGTTAAAACCACGGGTCATATTTCAGCAGATCCTCGCGCCGAACCAGCGCCCTTCCTACCGCACCTGGGCTGCTTCCAGCTTCTGGAAGGAGGCGATCTGTGGCGGTCCTCAGTGCTCCTTCTCCCGTATTTAATGCTCAGAGTCTCCATTCCCTTTAAGAATAATTTTCTGATTGCTAAACAGGCGGCTACTGTGCCTCTGGCCAGCAGAGCAGAGGCAAACCAGACAGCGTGGGGAGTTCAACTTTCAAGGTTGTTCACTTAAAAAAAAACCGTCACACAGCCCCTAAGATTTATGCGCGGGGTCCAGGCGGCTCCCCCAGAGCAGCACGGCTCTGCGCTGGAACTCCAGGCGCCTGCTTAGGCCAGGGCCGCGCTGGGTGATAGGAGTTTACATCTCCGCATCAATTAATGGGAGAGTAAATCTGCTTTCTCTAATGGGTGTTTGATTTTTCTAATTTTAAACTTGTTCTATGAAGAGAAAACTGTCATCTCAAAAACACTGAGAGCAGCAATAAAACGCTGGAAGTGGGAGCGCCTCTCCGTGTAAGCCCTGAATTGTCTTTCTGTTGAACTATGAATTATTTTAAATTGATTCCTGAAAAGAACCTTAAATCCTTAGAAAATGTAGGCATTGGAGGCTCTAGGTTGATGGCTCAGACACAGGCAAGGTACCCATTTCTTACTCTTTGCTTGTTTTAGGAAAACTGGAGAACCATTTGGAGGCACCACTGTCACCATCTTCTGAGCCCAAATGCATGAACATGTATGTTGGACTTGACATCTAACTTGTTCTCAGCAGAGTTCTTCCCAGCCTCCCTTTTAGAACTTTCCTTAGCAGAAACCATTTCAGTAAACATGTCTACAATCCCAACAATGGGGTAAAGCAGATAAAATACTCCAATTTCAGGAAGAGAAAACACACTGAATTCCTAATTGTGTGTTTGGGAAGGGTTCCGGTGGCTTGTAATGTTGTTCTGTTATTAAAATTTTTAAAGGCCTCTCTGGGGTAGTCCCGTGGCCACACGGCTCTCCTGGGCAGGAAGTGCCGTGTGCCTACTCAGTGTGGACGCCGAATTCCATTGTCATGTAGTTTTGGAAACTGCCCAGAAAGCTTGGGTTAGCTACATATGATGGACTATGTGGGGGGAAAATAACCGTTAATTGAAATTCCAGATGAACAGGGGACTATGAACAGCATACACACGCGCACACACACACACACACACACACACACACACACACACAACAGGGATAGATATGAGTTTTCTTATCTTGGAAATTCCCTATCATTCATTAGTTTTACTGTCATATAGAAAGTAAAAGCAGCTACTTCAATGCAAGCCGACCTCCAATAACTTCGCAGGCAGTGGCCACAGGACAAAGTGTTTTCTCATGGTTCCTGAGGAACAGCACAGCCCAGTCCAGGCTGCCTAATCCTCACAAGCCAGGAGAGCGCTGCACCGGGCAGCCGGGTGCAGAG